ATATAGGTACAGCGAATGAAGTGCTCGTACGGCTGGTGTGTTAATTTGAAGGCAATCGCAGCACGAGAGTTAGATAAATATATAAAACACAGTAGCAAGTATGTTTGGTAAGCAAACATGTTATGTCAACAAAGAGATCCAGAATTAAGGTTGAAACTTTTACATACCGAATGATTTGGCATCTGATAAGTCGTTGATGTTATTCATTACTTCGGCCATCTGCACCTCTTTCTGTTCGTGAGCGGTTGCAGCCTCTTCTCGAACATTCAGTACGTGTACCAGCTCCCTATTGAGAGCTAAAGATTTGAAGACAATTGGTCAATACCATAGCAACTAACAAATTGAGGGTACAAGCAGCAAGGAAAATTGCAAACAACTCTGTTGTCTAGCACTAATAATCATACAATACGCAACCCCCCCCGAATACTTCACAAGAAGGCTGTAATTCGAGAGTAGAGCGCAATTTGATATGATCACACGCATGTATCACACATCAGGCTTGTCGTGCTTTCAAATCTCGCTAACACTGGTGCATCCGTTCACGAGCTGAGATGTGCACAGCACACCCCTTCAAGCCATATACTGCCGGCCACACAGTGAACTACGACATTCACAGAAGTATGCTCTGCCTGTGAGCAATCACTTTCCACACGTGGTTTTCACCGTGTACTTTGTAACACACAATCAGTCTGAGTGTATAAACGGCGCCTATCGGATACAGTCAGTGGAAGGTCACAGAGACTAGAATACAGCCCACACTCTCGTTCACGACTGCATCCACGTATGTGCGGATTAAACACACACACATCGATACACACGACGCCACACGTATACTGTTACACACAAGCACACATGTACATAAAGTCTCTAAAAGTACCATTCTTCAATACCTGCCAACGACTTTTTCAGATTATCGTACAACTTCGTCAGTGTCTTGATGTCCATTTCCTCTAATTCACAACGGATAAGCACTCCAGTGTGCTCGAATGCCTCAGACGGTGACTCGTCTTTATCGTCTACAGTTTCTAGTGTAGGTGACGGTGTTGTCTTCCGTGGCGCACTCGTCGCGACTGTCCGTACCGTCAAATCAACGTTTAAGTCATTGTCGGTAATGCTGCAAGTAAAGATATATATAGAACATCAGGTCAATCTTGACTGTTTTTAAGGTGATAAAGCTCAACATTTAAGGTATTAATTCGATATGCGACGAGTGATGATATATAGAACATCCTGTTAACATGTGTATCCTAATTGTTTATAATGGTCAGCGTCCAAGTCATTATTGGACATGCTACGTGTGAACCGATGGAGGAGTTCAGGCCAGCATTTGATTGACTACTGGTTACACTAATTGTTACAAGATACAAGATGCAGAAGATCAGATCAGGATTAGTATCACTATCAGGTACAATACGGGTAAAACGATACAAAAATCAGATATACGTTCGAATGGTCAATGGTACAGTTACAGTAGTCAATGGGCGGGACCACATACCCCACATACCCAATGTAGCGCCCCACGTTCGACAGCATTGGCACTAGCCCATGTGTAGAAGATACAGAGGCGTGTTCATAACACAACGCTGCAGAGCTACACTACCGTATGGACTATAGGTCAGCCAGGCCGTAAAACTACTGTGGTGTAGCCAATTGCAATGCTACGGCCGGAATACTCAGTTGCCACGTATATGATGACATACAGAAATATGCAAAATATATATGGATATGTATAATTGCATTCATATATAATCAGGCATATTCATGTGTATGCATGAATATGATCGACAAGCCTGCACCTCAAACAACACACCCCAGCACATCCCATAGCCCTGGGCTACAATCAACAATCAACGTCTACATACGTTTCATTAAAGCCACTCCAGGAGAGTGTGGTCTTGCTCTTCTGTTTCATCTTGGCCATCTTGGCCATCCGGGCTCTCCTGTGTGGTGATATACCCGTATGCCCCTCGGATACCGCTGACTCTGTGCTCGGACTTGAAAGCTTATGCTCACCGCCCTCACTGACGATGCGTGCATTAGCTGCGTGTACTGTTAAGGCGGCGTAGGAGGATGATCGCACGTGTGCGGGTTTGCTATTAGAAGCGCTACGCTGTTCGGTATCAATTGGGTTCTCTTGGTCTCCTGATGCTGAGTCTGTACAAACGTGCAAGTGAAAGTTGTGAGTGATGGGAGAATGAATTTGGAGCTATGTAAATAATTAAAATACATACATACATACGAACGTAAACACAGAAGCGTATCCATACACAGTACAAATAAGTACATACCTACATACATGCAATTATATTTACAGATCAATAAAAATAGATGCATACATATCTATTACATACATATTCCCAAAAACACATATCCATACATGCATGCAACACATACATGCATATAAATAAGTACTGATATATATATATATATATATATATATATAGATATATATTAATATATATATATATATATATGTATATATATATTGGTATATATATATATATATAGATATATGTATTGTGTGTGTGTGTGTGTGTGTGTGTGTGCGTGTCTGCGTGTGCGTGCGTGTGTGTGTGTGTGTGTACATATAAATATATATATATGTGTGTGTGTGTACATATAAATATATATATATGTGTGTGTGTGTGTGCGTGTGTACGTATAAGTGTGTGTGTGTGTACGTATGTGTGTGTGAGATAGAGAGAAAGTGTG